AAAAAAAAAATAAACACATGTAAATAAAGCAGAGCAGAAACACGCCCCTTAAAAGCATTTTGTTACAATGTTGGAAGGAGCAGTACACCCACATCTTCCTACATAGTCATCAAAATATTCCATCTCTCTTTCAGTGAAAGTCATCTGACTGCCACAGAAAATTCACAGTGTAATAAAAGCTTTGGGAATGGAAGTATGTATCAATTTTCATTTTTGTCTTCCAGTCAAAACACTTTGTGTAGCTGCTATGCCACAGGCAAAAAGTGGCATCCACATGTTCTTTGGTGAATGTTATAATTTTCTTTGACTAGTTTGGGCCAGAAGTATAAAAGACTTTCCAGCAGCTGTGCATAACATGCTGCACCTCAATATAAATCCACTAGAGACCAATATCTCTGAAATGCGACACCTTGTGGTTTGGAAGATTTTTATCAACATTCCTCTGTAACAGTGGTATGCTCATTCTACAACAGGGAAGCTAAAAGCGTAATGAGGTGCAGCAGTGTTAGAAATCGGTGCTGGAAACAGCAAACATAAATAACATGTAATCAGTTCACCTTGGTGTCATCTGGTAGACTCCCTGAGCTGACAAGCCTCTCCAAGCGATGTCTCTCTCCTCGTTCACAATTCACCTGTCGATCTAACTCAGAAGCACGATATTCAAGTTCTGAAACACGCTGTTTGGTCTCTAGATGTGCCGCTGTCTCCTTCTCCAATCGTTCTTTCACGCGTGTCAAATTTGTCTCCATATCTTCCTAAACAATAACACAACCAAAAATACACTTAATACTAAAATCAGTGTTGAGGTACAGGAGCTTCATTAACACCATGCTATTAAGATGTGTGGGTAGCAGAGGTGTAGATCCATGCACTGCTCTCCTCACCATCAGAGAGAGGTAAGTGGTCAGGTTTACATAATTATCATTTAACCCCAAGAAAAGGGCTCCCAATACCCATCAGAGTTGAGGCTTGGTAAGCTCTAGAGCCAGTCCAGACACTCTGAAGAGGGGAATGGTATCTCTCTTCCTTTCCATCTAGCCCAAAGCCTAGTCATTAAACCAATTGAGCCATTCTAGCTTTTACAAGGTTTTGAGTCTACTTTTCATGACATGTGATCATTCAGACATACAGATGACTGCATGTATTGGCTACTTCTGGGTGTAAAGTGTACATCAATGGAAAACACACACTTTCAAATTCTGTTTTATATATCTGTGTATTTCTCTGTTATAGTGTTCACTTACTGCAGATATAAAACTCTTTATTACAGCTATAATCTCCTGCTCCTAAAATAGTGGCAGCAGATTCTTCCAAAACATTGGTACCTACCTAAAAGAAATACACAGTGTCACATCCCAGAAGACTGTAAACCTAGATTCTTGCAGATCTTTTGAGTGACATGAATACTTACAGGAAACTGTCATCTAAAAGGACACTTTTTAAAATTTGGATTCACCAAACAATCCCATTTATGAAAAGTGCCTAGAAAAATACGAAGCAGGCGCATATGTCCTATGTGACTGTGAGGCTGTAGCTTGCTTACGATTTTGTCACCTGGGACATTACTTCATGGAACCAAACACCAAGTTAACATACTACATTGAAATGTAGGGGTTCGGGGATATAGATCACTGTTGGTTGTTGTGCACTGAGCAATTAAGGCCCTCTCCTTATTCTTTCAGTTATTCTTCAGTTTGTATATCTAACTCATCTAGTGATGCAGTGTGTGGCAGAGTAACATACCAGCCTACCATTAGCAGCAAAACATTAACAGAGGAAAGTCATTCTCCACGTGGTTTGTCATGTATACATCACAAGAAAAAATGTTTCAGATAAAAACTGTAGATCTTACTGACATTTTCCAAATTTCTGTATAGTCAGCTACTTAAAATAAAAATGATATAACTAAGATTTAAGGTTCATGTTGAAAAAAAAACGTGGTGTTGTTGCATTTCCTGTGTGAACTTTCTGTACTACACCACAGAAACAAGTCTGTTCACAGGTGGCAACAGTTCAAGCGAAAAAAGATTACATTTTTTTTTTCTTCAGAAAAGTTGAGTAAGAACACAAAACATATTGCTGAATATTTACATATTTAGGTAAGCTTTATGTCTTATTACCCCAGCCTCAGCACTTTCCTATGAGGATGAAAGCTAGGAAATGAAGAAAAAAAAAAAAAGAAAAGAAAGAAAGAATAAAAGCCAATTTATAGCAATCAAAAGGAAATTTATGAGACAAACTGCGAAACACATGCATCAATGAAAAAATAAACATACATTAAAAGAATAAAAAACTCACAGTAGACAAAATTTTGAAATACAAAGCAACTGGTTTCAAAACATTGAGCAAAAGCAAGAGACTACTCCAGCAACGAGGCTGGAAACAACTTGCTGACCACCACATGATGACTGATGAGTCATGATTAATGATTGATGATAATGAAATGTTAACAAGAAGCAAAGCAAGGAATAACAAGAGAAGTTTTTCATGAAAGTCCTTCTTCTAATTAATAACTTCAACAGCAAAATTCAACCTGAAAAGCTAATAACAGCTACTTAGGTAGTGATAGAACTCCCAGCAATCCCAGGAACCCCAGGCTTTATCACCGCCTTCACAACAGGTCGCCACTGGTCCCTGTCATGACCCAGATGTATCCAGTTCACCCCATCCAGGATACTTTTATCTCACTATTACACAGTTGTCATACCTTCTCCTGCGTCCTGAGGTCCAGTTCCTGCTCCTTTTTTGCAAGTTTTGTAGCAATCTCCACATTTTCCCTGTCAAGTTCTTCAGCCTTGTTCCTTGCTGCAATCAGCTCTTCCTCCCTTGCCAGTCTGAGATAATAAAGAGCAGATAGCAAACAACATGCCCAAATAAAGACTGCCGAAGTCACACATTAACGCATAATTCCAGGTTCATAACATTTAATGACCTTTAAAAGAATTTTGTGGCAAACAGCTGTCAACATAACCATCGAATTCACTTAAGGAAAATATGAAGTTCTTAATCATTTCAATACATGTATTACTAAAGTAGTGTTGATGCATGTGCTTTCATATTGACTGATTTTAGAGTTGGCTGGATGCTAGTTGACTCAGTACCACATGATGCCACCAATGCAAGAATTGAGGGCACTTCTGGAATCACAGATGGGCCATAAAACTTCAGTCCAAAATTTTTTTAGGACTGAAGTTTTATGGTCCAAGAGTAGAAAATTCCACAGTGGAGGCTGTAACTAGCAGTTAATTACCCACAACACATGCAAAGTATCGAACTTTAGTTACATATTGCTGTGTGTCTATTAGTTTAGTTTAAGGTCAATTTTGGATAGACTTTTACATTTTGAGAATCCTTCCAGTTGACAGAGAACAACTTTAGCTGGTCCTAACCTAACAGTATCAGGATAGAAACTTGACAAAGGGGACAGCCTGGTTGCCTTGACATAATTTTCCAATGCATATGTGTAGCAGTTTGCTTCAATAGACTCAGAACTCAGTGTATTATATTGAAACTATCAATGTCAAAGTTGTTATGTGTTGTAAGTTTTGAGGTTTTCACGGTGATGACAATGAAGAAAGTCGTCTTCTGGGTTTAGGCACCGTGTATTCTTCGTTTTGGCCGACGTTTCGGAGGAACGTAGCGCCTCCATCTTCAGAGCAGTTGAATGGCTTTGAATGCGGAGAGCAGTAGCCATTCAACTGCTCTGAAGATGGAGGCGCTACGTTCCTCCGAAACGTCGGCCAGAACGAAGAATACACGGTGCCTAAACCCAGAAGACGACTTTCTTCATTGTTATGTGTTATTTGTTAAATAGAAAATTCAACAGAAAGTCTCTTCTCCTGTCACAGTCAAAAGACTAAAGGTACAGTGTAACTGAAACATTACGTTTTCAGCTCCAACACAAAGGTGAGACCATACAAACATGATCGTTTCTTTTCTTAAGTCTCTCAGGATATGTCATTTCCGCTTCCACCCCTTTCTCCTCATTATCCCCTTCATAGTTTTATCTCCCCTCCTTTCCATGCAGTCCCTTCCCATTTCTAGCATTTGTCTGCCCTATCTTCAGCCTTATTCTCTTCCTTGCTCCCTCACCTTCTAGTCATCTTTATCCCTCTCTCTCTGTTCTCCCATACTACTGTCCCCTTCTTATTTGTGCACACTATCATCACTCCTCTTCCCCTTCATTTGTCTCTCTCTCTCCTTTTGTTTAAAACAACACAATCTGTGACTACTTCCTCTGTGAAGGCACTATATAAGAACACAATACTTCTCCCACTTCCAAGCCCTCTGCAAACATAAACATGCATCAAACTGCCTTTTTTTTTTTACAAGACTGTAATTTATATTTACAGGCAAAGGAACACAGTAGAGGAGGAAGTGCAAAAATTTTGTGTTCCACATATAAAGTACAATATTATGCAAACAAAGTTGGGGAAGATTATGTCTACCCAGCTATTTACAGACATCCATATGAAATATTCCAGAGCGGGATTTTGATTAACATTTTGAACTCAGGAAAACTGCACATCAAATTTAATCTTGGTCCAACATACCAGCAAGTGTGGCACCCACACTCTCTTTACTAGCAACATAACCTCAACAGGTTCAGTCATTTGAAACATACTCACAGGCGAACCAGTTCCTTCACATTGATGTTGAGAGGTGAGAGGTCGGGGTTATCACCATTCTCACTTTGTAAGATGATCTGCTGGACAATGCGATCAAAGAGCATCCAATGCTGAGGGTGGGACCCATAGTCCACTGTCAACATGTCAATATCCAATCAGCAATAATATACTATGAGGTGCTTAATTTTGTCAGAGCATTTTGTTTGCTCTATATTACCATACACAAACCACTAATTTATGTGTAATTTTACAGGGTTGTGAAGCTTGGGAATAAGATATTCTTGTACTGAGGTCTCCCATGGTCTGTGTCTAAGTGCGTCTTGGATCTTGAGGTTCAGGCATGTTATGCTGAAATTGTTTCAGCATAGACTGCAGCCACCATGAGGATGAATGGGGGGGGGGGGGAGGATGTGGTAAAATATATAGGTCCTGAAGCCACCCCCAACCTTATTCCCACTTCACCATATAGTGCACTGTGCCACACCCCACAGTCTTAATATTTACCATACTGTTTACCATTCAAGAGCTCCCATAGAAACTTCAATTGTCATCACAATAGTGACATTTACAATTACCAGATGCTTCATCAGAGTTAAGTCATTTAAGCAACTAATCATATTTGTTCAATGTTATTAAGAAATGCAGAGGTTAATCACCATCAATCAATCAATCAATCAATCAATCAGTTTATTTATTCGATCAATCCATATTTGGCGATAGGAACTCGGGATACAGAACAAGTCATTTACTACTTCTTAAAATAACATACATATCGTACACAAGTCAACAATACTATGAAACTTAATTACCTACAGATTTCATACACATCAATCATACAACACACCGTCCCATTTTCAACAATTCAATACCAAAAGAAACCCTGCACCCAAAATTCTTTTATAGATTAAGTGAGGACAAGATATCTGTCATAACATAAAACCAAAACACACGCACTTCAGAATTTTAGGGACATAAATTCATCAATGGAATAAATGGAATGTTTCAAAAGCAAGGATTTTAAGACCCTCTTAAAAAGTTAAATTCTTTTTTAATTTTATCTGCTCAGGGACCTTATTATACAAGGTGATACCAATATTTATCACGTTTTTTTTAAAGAACTGTATTGCAATGATTTACATGTAAACTTAGTTTTCGTCGCGTGTTATAATTATGAATGTCCACATATTTTGCCATAGTCTCTTTATATTTTGTAATAAAACATATCACTTCAAAGATGTATAGCGCTGCCAGTGTTAAAATATTATAACCTTTAAAAATTTGTGGGCATAACGTTCGATTATTAACTTCACTGATAATTCGAAGGACAGTTTTTGCAGTTTAAAGAGTGTGTCACATTCGTTATCACTTCCCCATAATATAATACCGTACCGCAGACAAGACTCAAAATTTGAAAAATTAGATATTTCTTATCATATATGGGCTCATCCTTTCTTTTAATGTTTTTATCATATGATAATAATGAAATTTTGTTCATTACCTGATGCCCACACTACTACATTTACAGATGTTTTGGTTTCACATTGCATTGGATCACCTTATTTCAGTCAGTTTATGTCCAATTTACATTAACCATTCTGTTTCAGTTGAGATGAATAAATCTTTCTCCGCCACCCCCCAACAGCTGAAAATATTCTTCCAATAGCCATTCTACTCTTAACTCGTATATCTGCATTTCTTGTATGAGCAGTTGTTCCCTGTAAGAACATTACATGCAGATACACAAACATCTGCTTACATGGCAACAATATGCAGTGCTGGAGCAGGGACAGAAGGTGTGGATAAGCAGCTGTGTGGCTCAGCTTCCGTCTCAGCAGCTCAAACATTGATGATGCACTTTTTGTATCCACATGTTCCTGTAAAATTGTACAACCATTAGCTTTCTTATTTTCAGAAGTAAGAGCATCAAAAGTGATATAAATGCCGATGTTTGATGTCAATCAAGTTTACTCTGTTCAGCTTGTTCATATCTGTAGACAGCTACAAATGACCCAGGCAAGCAAACAGCTATACAGTTATTAAGAAGTGATGCAGTGTATCTAATGTTAGATGTTACACCCATTCACTTACAGTAACCACTTCTTACTTATTGTAATCAGCTGGGAGCACCCAGTATGTGGTTGAATGGATGGACAAACAGAAAGACACTTCCTGTCAGCTCAGTGGTCACTGACATGAGTAACCTGTCCTTTCAATCAGCATATTATGGCAGTAACATGCATAATGAAAGGAGTTGGGTTAAAATGACATCATGCAATGAATAGTCCTGATTAGTCAACATTTGGCCATATTGAGGGAAAATATGAAAGAGGTACAAAAGATCTTCCCTGATCTGCACTTTATTGTGCAGTATACACAACTAAAATACAATATATTGTGACATAATGGCTTGAAAGCCAGATTACGAGAGCCAGGAAAGATATCCGTTAGTAGCCAGCAGCTCAATGAATCTGTTTCTGTGGCAACAAATATGAAAGCAACAGTAGGGCAAATGCTGGCAGCGATGTTTTCTATGTGGTCCATGCAAAGGCTACATAAGGCACATGAGGCTGACAACCTTTTTTTTTTATTGCTAGTGGGGTGGGACTAAGTCCCTTGTACTGTGGCCACTTCTGGCCTATTGTACCAGCCCCAGATGATAGGTGAGGGTGATTGTGGAGCAATTGGTGGAATAAAGACTGGCAGGGGAAACCGAAGTATTCAGAGAAAACCTGCCCCAGCGCCACTTTGTCCACCACAAATCCCACATGACCAGACCCAGGATCAAACCCGGGCTGCCGCGGTGGGAAGCCAGTGACTAACCGCTTGAGCTATGGCGTGGCCCAATGGGGCCAGTCAGTTACAGCTGTGACAATGAGGAATTGTGAGACAGTCACCAGCTGGTAAGGACACAAGTATGGGAGCTGAGGAATTGACACTGCTGGAAGCCGTTACCAGTCAACAACAGCCAGACACAGAAGACTATGTGTGATGCAGTAGTGTGTTTAGATCAGTGAAACTGCTATAATTACTGGTAGTTACAAGTTATAAGTCTTCAACAAATCCAATTATCATTACAAAACCCACAACTAGACACTAACATGTAACAATAAGAACTCTTTTCACTGCACATGTAATCACAGTGCTCACTAGGTGAAAGATCACACCTAGACTGTCCATCTTAAAACACCTTTACCTGTTCCTTGATGTGGGTCTGGTGTTTCCCATCCACAATTTAAAATCATACATTTGTAATTTCATACATATAACTAGGATGTCGTGAAGATTCAGTAGTGAAACTCCACTTCTAATCTTGATATCTTTAATAGCCAATCAGAACTAAGATAAAAGAATCTGTGTACCAACATGGAGAATGTGTGAAATTAGTCAACTGCATATAGTGTAGTTAAAATACAACTCACTCAGAGACTGTTGCAACACTGACAACAATCAACAAATATAAATATATGATGAAAGTTACTGTGAAACATTCTAAAATTGTAGTGCATTCCCTTCACTTTCATGTTCATCTGTCTGTTACAGACATCTTCCAGTTTTCATGCAATTATTTTTCCAATCTTGTATCCCTGTTCTTCTAGAAATTCAACTGTGGTCTGTAATAACAACTGTAAAACACCAGAAATTCATTTTGAAAAGAAACATTTTTAATCACTGATTCTTACATGAAAATGTTGTTAGACAGCAGCATGTCAAATTTGCCCCAAATTACTTCTACACACTAATCTGAAAATAAACTGAGAAGAACCTTTCCTCTTCCCTACTCCAACCACCCTGGATAGAGCTCCTGTCCCCCCCCCTCTCTCCAGTGACCCTGACTGCTCATCTATCACCACTCCAAATTGCAGCACCTTTCATTTTTACGCTCAAGATATGACAAACATCATCCAGAACATGCATAACACCCAACAAGTCCACATGGTGTCACAACATAATGGCTTACTCACAAAAACTAACCTTTTCAAACTTCCTTGCTAATTCCTTTTCATCTTCATTCCTCACCATTTCAAAGAAATCTAGATGCCTGAAAAAAGGAGGAAGATTAAGAAATTAAATTCAGCAGTACAGGAAGATGTGAGGTCCAGATGAGGATTCCCTTAGATTCATTCGTTGCAGAGTGAAATGAGCCAGCTGCAGATGGCACACAACACACTGCCCTACACTACCTACATCCACATCCTGTAGAACAACCAAAAAATATCCCATGCCCATTCAGTCATTCATTCATTCATTCATTCATTATTAGAGGGGGTGGGTTTCCCCATGCACTTAGACCAGTTATTGGTCCATTGTGTGTCCCCCTTTAATTTCTACTGTCGCCATACCCTTCCAGTACTGGTGCTCGCTATCAGCCCCATTCTGCCAGCGAGGTCGGCCCTCTTCTGGCAGTGGTACCCGATACTTCTCCATCTACCGGAGGCACTGCAAACTACTTGGGCGGGAAACTTTGCCTAATTTTGCTCAGACGTCTCCTAGAGACATGAGGATCTCTTACGTGCCGTAAATCTATGACATGGGAACCACGGCTTGAAGTCCCTCCCGGAGGACTTGTTCCCTGAATTTTTCCGCCCTTAAAAATTCCATGACCTCCGCCGGGTTTGAACCCGCGTACCTTGAGTCATGAGGTGGGAACATTACCCCTAGACTATGGAGGCTGCATCCCATGCTCATAATTAAAGTTGTAAACATATTTTGTGACAATATAACTTAGAACATTAGCTTTTCTCACATAAAATAATGTTTTAAATAAGACTGTTATTAACTTATAAGTTAAAGCAAAGCTCTAGGAAACTGTGATTACCTCAATTCACTACAGCTCACTACATGAGATGGATAATTTAAGGGCATATGGGGTGCAGGTGGACCGCCTCTGTGGTCTACAGATCCAGAGGTACAGGTTCGATTCCCGGTGCTACCGGATTTTCTGAGAAGTAGTGGGTATGGAACAGGGTCCACTCAGCCTCGTGAGGATAACTGAGGAGCTACTTCAAGGAAATATCGGCTCTGGTCTAGAAAACCGAAATTAACGGCCGTGGGGATTCATTAAACTGACCATGCAACACCCTCTATCTGCTAACGTTGTCACTAACTTAGGTGACAAGCGGTGGTTGCTCGATCAGTATAGTTTGCTTGCAGGCTAAAACCACAGAGTCTTTTTTTTTTATGGGGTGGAGGTGGGTCACACAGACCAGCCAAATACTACCTTGCCCCTCCCCTTCCAGCAGTGGTTGGTATGGAATATGTAAGTCTGTACTTGCACTCATTATAACCTACTTATTATAAAAATTTTGAAGTGACACCACAGAAGAGAGTGTCAGTCGAAGTTTTTTACTTTCATGGCAAATGGGTCCCAAGTTATAGCTAACCAAACACCTGTTAACTCATAAATAAACAGAATCTTCCCATTACGAGCATATCATAAACCAACTCTCTGTTCTATAACTTACTACCAGCAGCACAGATGTATATCAGACACGTAAAAACAATCAGTGAATTTACATAACATCTGTCTCGAGACTGGGAAAGGTTTTCAACAACAAGCTCATCTTAATCATGAGAACAAGCTGAAGACCACAGTGAACAATCAATCCTCTAGCACATTTCTATCCCAATTAGTCATTTGAAGCAGGAACTTCATCCAAATAATATTAAAAAATTGAATTCCTTCCACGAAAACTCAAAATGCACCTCCATTACAAAAAACTAATCACTTAATACTGTTCAGGTAAATAATCATTGCTTATCGCAAGAATCACACAAAACAAATACACACTGTGGGCAAAATTCAGAGTTCTACAAAGTTAAAACAGGTGGTACATATAATTACGACTGTAGTTTGCAGAGTTAACTATTTTAAATAGAAATATGTTTTTCTTCAACCTAAGGCACAGCAGTACTGAAACACTGACCTGTTAAGAGTCTCATTCTCATGGCCACGAAGCTTGTCAATAATTGGCTGGATACCAAGCATCAGGAATTCATATCGAAGATGAAGGCGGAAATCAAGATTCTCTTGACCCGGGCCATAGTTAAGGATGGCATTCACAAAGGACATGATGGCTGTCTTCAGATTCACCTCATCTCGGTAGATCCCCGTACTGCGATCCAGATCATTCACAATGCCCTGCAAAAATTCAAAGTGCAGCTGTATAAGCATGGTCTTTATGTCAATTGGTGCAGAACACATTCACCTAAAAGTTACCAGTCTGACTCCATACTAACCCTCAATGGAGCTTATAATACTGCAATGAAACATTCTGTGCTGCATGTAAAATCACAAACACAATGCATACAGAGCATCCAAATAAATTGGTACATTATCAAAAGGGGACACTGAATTAAACAGTGTAGCAACAAGCTAACCAGTTAGGAAATGTACACACAGAATAGCACTTCTGGCAAATTCCTTCAGTATAATTCAATTCTGTTTAAAACACAGAGACTTAGGAAAAAGTGTATTGGGAACAAAATGATTTCTACTGCTCTGTATCTTTTGTTCAAAACACTGTTTGCTCCAACAAATACTCTTGCATTCTAGATGTAAGAAGAAACATGTGTAGGTCCATCACTGCTGATTGATAAAAAAAAAAACACCATGTCAAATTTCATGAAAATCCATTCAGCTGTATCTGAGTTGTTACATGCAGAGAGACAGAGGGACAGACATTGCAACTCCCCACTGTTAAGAAGCCAAAATTTACACATGTTTCTGAAGAGCAATCATACTTAAGCCAGCAACCTCAACTGTGTTTAAATTTACTTCTCCTCACTGGAAAGGTACTTCCTAATACTGAGCCAATATAACATGCTATAACGAGATGAGGGACTGAGGAAGCAGCAGTTGTGGCCCATATCAATGTACTATCCCAGTCTGTGCCAGATGTACAAAAGACCTCAGTGAGGACAACAGGGCCCTTGCTGGCATGCAAATGTAGTTCAGACATGTTACTGCTTAACCATACTGTGTTGCAAGATGCACGTACTGCCAGTATCAGATTTGCAAGCAGATCAAAACAATGTCATATTGTAGGATTTGACGTTCTCACACCAGTGGTTAGGAAGAGTTTTATAAGTTGGAATATAACACCGTGCAATCCATTGAAAGTCAACTGATATTTCGGAGGAACATGTCGCCTCCATCTTCATGGTCAAAGAGTAAGCCAAGCAAGAAACATGCATGAAGCAGGTACCAAGCAGAGCTGGTCTCTTGCTTGGCTTACATGAAGATGGAGAAGGTAAGTTCTTCCAAAATTTTGGTAAACTTCTACCACATTACATGGTCTTCAACACAGTAAAACTGGAAAGACCATGCTGACAGTATGAGTTCTGACAAGGCAGCAAACATCAATATAAACAGAAAATTATAAATAAAAAGAAATGGGAAGAGATGTGAATAAATATAAGATACTAGTTTGTACTATCTCTGACAGGTCTAAATAGACCTATGAAATTTCAATAACCTACCTATCTCTGTACTTCTCACAAAATATAATTGGTTCTGGTGGATGTATAACCCACAGAGAATATTCTACAAGAACCTATAAACTACCTTTCATTATACAAAGGCACTACAGCATCTCAGGCAGTCCCATCATGTAAACTTACTAGAAGTTGTCAGTTTGAACACCTCTTGACAGTACAGCCACCACAATTGCTGAGTGTTGACTTTCAGCCATTCTAATACAAAATACATATTTCTCAATGTCCATGAAAAAATAAAAATACTTAGCCCAGCCAGCCTTTATGGATGAACTGTCCTCCTGGACTCAGATACTGCACTGACCTCAAATTTCTCAACATCACGTATCCCTCCAGTTCCAGAGATCCAGTGCATTGGGTTGTCTAATGTATGCTAAATCTTCATAACACTGTGGGATGCCCACAAAATCAGCATCATAGACACAACACTGCCAAGCCACACAGATTATGCTATGGACTTATATTACCTGGAATCGTGTTCTCTCTGAAGCAAACTTCTGATACTGCAGCATGGCTTCCAGCACCTTCCTGTGACCTCCAGGCACCAAGCACACAGCTCCCAAGATTTCAAGTACAGCAATTTTGGTCTTGATGTTTTCTGTGCTGAGGCTCTGGGCGATGGTGTTGATGCCTGTTGGGTGTGCCAGTACATGGGCTCGTCCATTCTGCAAAACAGTTCCAGTTCAGTTCGGTCAGTTCTCCATTTGAAAATCACAAACGCCCGTACAGCACACTCACTCACTCTTTGCTTACACTACACTTGTGTTTAAGCAAGATCATTATTTTTGTCATTATCCATTCTCTTGGGTTCTTTCTCAAACAAAACATTTTGGAAACTGGGTCTCTCTCCCTCATCAGATGCAAAGAAGGTGAGAGTCCTGGACCTGTTAGAAAGAGCTATCCTTGCTCAGTAGATGCCACCAGCAGGAAACATGAAGAGAAAAACTAGGAACCTTTCCTTCCTTAAACCTGATGATGGAAATAGATTCCCTCCTGAAAAACTGTACATGAAAAAAAGAAATATGTCTACAATATCTGAAGTGACAGTCATATTTATGTAACACACCACTGTCAGAAATATTTACACAGCTCATACTTTTCCCAAAATAAAATGACTGGCTTATATAATTTCCTTCACAATCAAAGTATTTATTCTGTTATATGCTATATATTTAGTGCACTAAAACATTTAATTATGTAACATTTATTTCCCTTATGTACACATAAGGGACATGAATTCAACATTTACAATTACATGTTAAGAAAAATGTGTGACCCTCAAAGGAAGCTGATCAACCAAAACATCTGTGCACCCCTGCACAACAGACTTTCGAACTTTCACATCTGTCTCTTCTTCTGGACACTTCCAGCAGCAGCAATCTGAACACACATTCACTATGCTGTTGATGGACTACATACCGAATTGTTCATAAGAGCCTTGACACATCCAATGAGGGATGTGTGAATGGAACTCTGTGCAGTGGCATAGTCCATGGTAGACAGAAAACCCAGCAGGGCTGGCAATCCATCCAGCTCAATGAAGCGCAGCACAAAACTGTGAGGCTGGGTCCGCAGTGCAGTCTTCAGTCCGTCCAGCTGCCGCGTGCGTGACCTCACCTCTTCCTCTGAATCTACGGGGAACTGCAGCTACAGTGCATAACAAATCAGCGTTACTTTGCTTTGTAATATGTATTTATGAATTATTATTACTGAACACTATCTACACAGAACCAGTGCATGATGATTATGGATGATAACGTATCTGGAATAACCGAGGAACCCAATGAAACCTTCTCACAATGACCACTTCTGCATAAAGTTTTAAATCAAATCCATAAAACCAAGGCTGACGGATAATCTGTACCATGGTGCCTGGTAAATGACTCATCCACAAATATGAAATCAATTATAATTATGAATGCATCACCTGGTCAACCAATGGAAACGATGGAAAAGTTACTGGTCTAAAATTAATTTCACAGGAATAGACCTCCAGGAAATTAGGTTATATGATATCTTAGATTCTTTTACTGGTAAGAATTAAGACTGCAATCTTATGTGATGTGACATCATGCAGTCTGGCAAGTGGTTATCAATATTTCAGGGGCTCACACTGCCTCCAAGTTCAGGTTGTAGAGTCCCCCTTCCCCCCCTCTCACTACTAATTCTTCTAAATGCCATATTTCTGTCATTCCATTTCCTGATCCAAATTGTATAGGTGTAAGAAACGAAAACAATGTAATTTGTAAACCTTTATGTCTCGTTGGCACTAACTGCGCCGACAAGTACCAGTCGCTTGGTGAGTATACTTCACTTGCATACTACCACGGAGTTTAGTTTTATGTCTTTTTCAACAAGAACTGTTCTGTCCTTCAACTCTGAATCAGTAGAGTGCAAGAGCATCTGCCATATTTGGGAGACTTTACTTAACTCGTTAAGTCTCACATATTGCCACATTTATTTAACTGACAATACAGTTTGAACATGTCATTTTGAGGGAGCAACTGATTCCTGGAAAGTCAGAATACAGACAGCCAAATCATATTCACAGCTACAGTTTGCTTCAATATGCTTCTGCTGTATTGCAGCTTACTAACTTACCATTGCTAGGGAGTGCACCCGTTCGATGTAGTGATCTGGCAAGTGCAATAAGTCTGTTTTACCATCTTCATCCTAAAGACAAGCACTGCATTAGTAATGACATAAGCTGAAACAACACTACACTAAATTTTTGCTCTGATCAGTTATTTAACTGTGACTACACAGCATCAAATGGTAGATGGCTTAATGATGGACCAAAAAAGATTTGAAAGTGGTTATGGCCCAACTGAGGTACTACTGTAGCATGACATCAGGTACTGAGTAAAATTATGAAAACCACAGTCAGAATAACTGGTGTTTTGGCCAACATCTAAACTAGCAACCCTCAAATACAAACCTAGAGCATGATCACTATCCTAACCTCTTCAATTAACTAAGCCAATGTCCAAGACTATATACATATACTTGTTTAGGTATAATTTTTCAGGTTACGTTGTTTTGTTTGTAAAATACAGTCTGCTACTTTCAGAGGTGGTCACCAACTACAACTGCTGGCAAAAATAACTGTTTGGGGACACATCTGTACATTTTTTTTTTTTTTTTTACATTACACATTACACTGCATTGCATTCCATGGATCCAAAGTTAGTCAAAATGACTGTAGGATGTGGAATATGTCATATCAGTACAAAACATATGTACAGTCCCAGTGGAATTCTCACACAAGAGAAACCAAGAATACACAGTGACTACACACAAGGCTATTTAAAGGTACATAAGTTATTTTCTAGACAATAGGTATTCATCAACAGACTAGAATGAATGTGTATTTAAGTATCATTTTGATGCTATTTTAAATTGTGCCTTTTCATTCATAAGACCTTTGAGATCAGATGGCAGGCTATTAAAAATGTTGATCCCAGCATAATATGCGCTTTTCTGAAAGCATGAGAGGTTAGCAATTGGTTTATGAAGACAGTGTTTGTGTCTTGTGATAACACTGTGTACTTCCGCATTCGTCTCAAAATGTTCTGCGTTATTTGTAATGAAGTTTGTAATAAAGACTGAAGCTCAGTCCCTATGTTAAGAATCTCACGACTGATGCAGCTCAGCTGTTGCTATGGAAGAAAAATAACAGAAGGTTCCAATGGGCTGGTTATGGTTGTTGAATTACAAGTGCAAACAGGATTTCTGTGGGAATAACCTCTTTGGCAACTACATGAAAGACTGAACAACAGAGAAGAATAACATTAGGATGGAAACAATTTGTGAGAATGGTAGCTGTATGGAACTGTGTCAGGATTGTATCCATTAGTGGTGTTCGGTATTAACAGCGCTGAAGACCAGGTTTTGCTGCCAGTCAGTCAGTTCACCATGATCAAGAATCAGAGTTATGGCACAACATCTGGTAAGGTTATGAATGCTTACAGCAAACAGACAACTGAATATTATGAGAGAAGTCAACATAAAAAGCTGATAATAATCCATTCCCTCCAGGAGCGCCTCCATCACTTTGTAAGGTTATACTAACATTCCCTGTATTCCTACAGCATAACTTCAGTGGTGCCTCTGTCATTGTTTCATATGACATTCTGCATCAGAAGCAGGGAAATTTTTAGTTTCAGAAATGTCACAGTTAAACTGTCTGATGAAACCAGACACTGCTGTGCGTCAATGCTATGTGCCTGCCAAATGTCTATGCTGACCACACTTGTAGATTAATCCATACATTTGGTGTATTAGGCTTTTTCTTCCTTACAAAATTTGATGTCATGAGTCATCTCCCAGATACACTTACCTTTTTCCTACTACAGTAAATCTGCCACTTCTTTTCGGAAGGCAAACTCAACATAGCTGCCTTGTTGGGCGCTGTAAGGTCCAACTCTTCCTGCAAACACACAGAGATGCATGCATCAGATCAGAAGCACAGTCTGTCAGTCTGAAGCTCTAAAACTACGAGCATCATCAGAATTTTCTCCCTTCCTCAGCACACACCTCACATACAATGCTTGTATACCATGGACTCTGCACATCAGAATGGAAAGATGCCTGCTCACATCCACTTCAGTGGACACCATGCCTCCTATATATATATTTTTTTTTTCTCTCTCCTCTTGCTCCCACTTTGGAGCCTAGGGCTGATTTCTCAGTTTCATGATCATTTTACAGAAGGCAGGACTCCTTGGAAGGGTTATCAGCTGGTCACAAGGCCTTTATTTAAACACAGGACAACACAAACGCAGAATAAACGAATACACACACCAAACATCCATGCCTTGTGTGGGATTCAAACACACAATCCCAACTTCCAAGCGAAAGAAGACAGTACATGGATTAGACCGCTTGGCTACCTTGACCGGTGTGCCTCCTATATGCCTTGATGTTATGGTTTTTACGCATAAAAAATAGCTCTTGCTTTCTTTACCTTTAGCACGCACATGTACACTTGTGACTAACTGAAATGCTTCAATGTAAGGGGGTACAGGAATTGACTGGGGGCAAGTATCGTGTTTACTGTGTCAAAATGGGATGTCAGTCTCATCAGTATTTTACCAATGGCACATCACACAAAATATTTATCTAATTACATCAGTCTGACCTATTTTAGCCAACTTTCCTTATTCTGAATGAACAAAAGGAAGCTTATGAGGCTGCCTTGCTGTCTGTGCATCCCACCCTATTTCTTGTTAGAGGGCTTATGAGATCACCTTCCTGTCTGTCTGTGTCCCCCCATACATTTTGTTTTCTGTGAGGTCCATCACTCACTCATGGAGCTGAGCCCTTCTTGAGAAGCTGCGAATTGTGCAGCTACTCAAGAATTTCCCAGCATTTTATGGAACTCGAAGGTTCATTACCGTGTTCACAAGAGCCCTCCACTTGTCCCTATCCTGAGCCAGATCAATCCAATCCATACTATCCCATTCTATCTCTCTAATATCCATTTTTAATATTGTATATCCCACCTATGTCTTGGTCTTCCCAGTCGTCTCTTTCCTTCTGGCTTTCCCACCAATATCCAATATGCATTCCTCTTCTCCCCCATTCGTGCTACATGCCCTGCCCATCTCATCCTCCTTGACTTGCTCATTCTGTGCAGTCCGTATTGCATCAAAAGAAAGTAGGCAATCAGTCCTTCCCAGAACTTCATGTTTTTGTTTAGTATACAATTTCATGTTCCTCCAGCCCATGACAAACTTGGACGTGGAAGTTCTAATCTGTTTCATGACATCCATTGCCTCCACAGTAAGGTAAAGTTATCCCTGATCCAACCACCATGCCATAAACATGTATGGGGAAGTGGAGACGTAGTTCCACTCATACTCGTACTTCACCACAGCCTTTCTTAACATGACAGCACTTACCACCAGTTCGGCGAACTTGGCGTTGAGCTCCTCCTCCGCGGGCATCGGCTGAGTCGGAGTGAGGGCCTGTAGGGACAGGGTCCCCGTCTGATCCACCACACAGTACGTGATCTCCGGTGGCTCATCATTCTGGAACAAAAGCAGCACGGCGCGTGACACAGGTCAATCCCAACAGCTGTACATGAAGCTTGTCTCAAAGTCATGATTTCAGATATAAAGTTAACTTTAAAGTTAAATAAAACGCGTTAATTCCAGAGCCCGCAGCCTGAGCACTCCATTGACTGATGAAGTTGCAGTCAGTAATGAACTTGCTATTCATAAAGAAAAATAAGAATAGGAACCAAAACATAAATAATTAAATAGATGAAACCAAGAACAGAGGTAAATGTATCACTATACTAGTAGGTAAACAAGAAGTCCTGGGAAAAACCAATCTCCTACTTTCCTTTGACAGAACATGCACCGCACAGAAAACGACGCGTCCAAAAGTTTTCTATTGTTGCGTGTGTATTCTTTGCCGCGGGAACGTCTACCGAGCCGCTGCCTAGTAAAGAAAGGGGGGGGATACAAACACAGAGTAACGTGATCTCATATGTCTACTACTCGCCTATCAATGACAGTAACGTGTTTACCGCTGTTGCCTAGAACTGGCCGTCTCCTCTGTCTTTTGGTCGTTATAGTTAGTGTTCTGTCTTCCGTTCATCACAATTTATTAGGCAGATGTTCATGGCGGTGTCATGCCGACATAACTTTTGCTACCATTAAAGGCTGTGCGGTGCATACGGAATATTATGTACTTCGTACGCGCAGAGCCCTGGGCGGCCGCCCAATTCGCCCTGCCCTAGGTATGACACTGATCTTACTGGTGTTCACCAAAGGTGCTCTGCCCCACGAGCCCACGCGGCGGAGAAAGCCATGCCGTAGTGACTATGGGAGTGGGTCACTGAAGATGAGGGTTTCGCCCTCATACCTTGCACTGCTAGCAAGACACTTCTTCCATGGAAACGAAAGTAAAGATAATATTGGGGTCTTCACAGAGTAGGCCGCACGGTGGCCTGAGGCTGGCGCCCTCATGCAATCGGGACGTTCAGGCTTATGCGAAACCCTCCTGACTGAAGAGCCTGAGAGGACAGAGAGGAAGACAAGTGGTACAGATGCTGAAAGAATATTGCCCAAGGGACAGCCAGACTATTCGCTTACAAACTTAAGTTTAAACCATTTATGACTATCAGATTTTAAAGGGTTCTGATGATGCTCTATAACCCACAGAATTACAGGGTGTTTTAACTTTTTCAGTCGTCCTGTATTCTAAAATGTAGAAAAAACTACACTTCGGAAACCGGATCTGTTTCCATCCTCAGGTGAGGGGGGCAAAACACCCACTTAATTGGGTCCCTTAGAAATACAAATGATCGGAATTAGCTCTATCTAATGGGTCCAACTGAGCACGTGTATACCCCCCTCACCTGAGGACGGAAACAGATCCGGTTTCCGAAACGTCGTGTTTTCTATTTCCTAGAAAACTGGATGACGGAAAAATTCCAAAAACCCAGTAATTCTGTGCGTTTATGACTACGTTTCCAATCCCGAGGGCCTCAGTCCAGGGGAATAGAACCCCAAAATCAAAAACACCTGGTCCTCTAGGTCTGTGTGTGTGTGTGTGTGTGAGCTGGTATCCGCCCCCCCCACAAAAACAAACAATACATTTAACCAACAGGTTTGGCATTCTCCTGATACCGACAGATACTTCCGGGTTGATTGGCTCACCTGGAGGCAGCCACACCAGCCCTTGCGACCCCGGACGGCAGGCATTGTGGGAAGGCTGGGGCAGTGGAGGCGGGACACGGAGGCGGTCAGCTGTTGGGACAGCGCCTCCAGGCCGCCTCGCAGGTTCAGGCGTACCGGGCACGCCGGCAGCGTCTGCAACAAACAACACACATATTATGTTCGGTTTCAAGGCCGATGTGATACTGAGAATGGAGACAATTACATAAAAAGGAGTTCCGTAAGTTATGAGCTATTATGACTAGGATGACTAAATAAAGGGGCGCGACGTGGGAGAGGTGTGTAGAACGCATATGAGAGAACAGAAATGCATTAAAAATTTGTCGGAAAACCTGACGGGAAGTGCTATTTTGGAAGACATAGTCGATGTGAGGATAATATTAAAATGAATCTGAAATAAACAGCGTGAGAGCGTGTGGACTGATTCCGCTAGTACAGAATCGGGTACACTGACAAGCTCTTGTGAACACGGCAAATGAACTTGAGAGTTCCCTAAAAGGAGCGGAGACCGCCTCTGTGGTCTAATGGTCAGAGTTCCTGGCTACAAATGAAGAGGTACCGGGTTAAATTCCCGGCGCTACAAGATTTTCTAAGAATTAGTGGGTCTGGAACGGGGTCCACTCAGCCTCGTGAGGATAACTGAGGAGCTATTTCAAGGAAATAGCGGCTGCGGTCCTAGAAAACCGAGATTAACGGCCGTGGGGATCCGTTGCGCTGACCACGCGACACTCTCTATCCGCTAAAGTTGGCACTAACTTCGCCGACAAGCGGCGGTAGCTCGGTCGGTATAGTTCGCTTGCGGGCTAAAGCCACGGAGTTTTTATTTTGTTTCTAAAAGGAGCGGAATTTTGTGAGTCGCTGAGCCACTGTTAGATTCTCAAGAGGCAAGTTAGGTTCAATTATACAATTTTGTGAAGACGGACACACAGGCTTCAATAAAGACCAGCAAACAACTATCAACTTCTAGGAAAGATCCTGTATCATGCAGTCCACACTGTGACCTCCGAGGGTGAAGAACCAGTCCACGGATACCGGCCACTGCGTCACCAACCGCGCGAGTCCCACTCTAGTAGAATTCCGTCCAACAGACGCACACAACCAATGTTTCTCAACCTGTGAGGCGACAGTAGCCGCAAGTAATAACCACCAATCTCTTCCCGTACATAAAGGAAAGCGAGTGTTCTTTATACGTACATTTCCGCGCAGCTACATCGGAACCAAATCTGGTATGATGACACAGGATCTCCTTGGGCAGGGCTAAGACAGTTGAAACCGAGAATTTCATTTACATGAGCTTTGATAGGATCCGGTTAAATTGCCGAGCGCCTGGGCTGACCTCTGTAGTGTTACGCAGGAATCATTGATGACACTCAGGGTAGTCCCGATAGAAAGGACAGGAATTCTTCATGTAACTGTTGTGCATCTTGACTCATAAAACGAAAAAATATATGATGACCAGTGTTTGAGAACAGGGTGTTAAGGAGAATATTTAGACCGAAGAGAGATGAAGTGACAGGAGGTTGGAGAAAACTACATAATGTGGAGCTTCATGACTTGTACTCTTCTCCAAGTATAATTAGAATGATCAAGTCAAGGAGAATGAGGTAAGCAGGGCATGTAGCACGAATGGGGGAGACGAGGAATGAATATATGATATTTGTGGGGAAGCCAGAAGGAGAGAGATCACTGGGAAGACCAAGGCGTAGGTGCGTGGACAATATTAAAATGGATCTTAGAGAGATAGGATGGGATGGTATGGATTGGATTGATCTGGCTCAGGATAGGGACCAATGAAGGGCTCTTGTGAACACGGTACTGAACCTTCGGGTTCCATAAAATGCTGGGACATTCTTGAGTAGCTGCAGAATTGGCAGTTCCTCCAGAAGGGCTCAGCTCCATGAGTAAGTAAGTAACACTGCAGGTGAGTGTTATTCCTTCTATAAAATAGTACGCTGTAATGGAGCGTCAAGCTGTCAGGAGCTCCGCTGACACAACACAATACAGATGGGTCCAATAGAGAATGTATAACGCACCATTCCGACACCATTTTGTTTGACTGTCCTGCTATTCAAGTAGGTGGCTCTGGCATTTATGTGATAAACATCTTTCGAGGTAAATATTATGTTTTTGGACACTATCCATCGTCACAAACTTTTATATCTTATCGTCTTTTGAGACAATATCATACTACACACCGTACATTACATTTTGGTTAAACTATGTAAATATCCGTAGATAACGTCTATTAAAATGTGTATATATTTCTTAACGCCTCACACTTTGTGCCCCTCCGTGTAATAATAATTCAGCTACACGTTCCGGACGTAGACGCCATCTTCAAGCATCCACTACATTCATCAACCACTTTCTATTGAAGCTGTACACTGGCCAATGATTACGCAGTGATTATCAACAAGCCATTTTGCCTACATTGGATTAGGGTCAAGTGGTAAAATTGACTCCTAGGTACGTGCACGACTTGTAGCTGCGGAAAACATACAAAAAAAAACTCCGTGGTCTGTAGTCCGCAAGGGAACTATACCGACCGAGCGACCGCCGCTTGTCAGAGTTGGTGCCAACTTTTGCGGATAGAGAGTGTCACGTGGTCAGCGCAACGGATCCCTAAGGCCGTTAATCTCGGGTTTCTAGACCGGAGCGCTAAACATAATAAGATATAAAAGGCGATTACTGGACTCCCAGTATTGTAATGTATACAGATTACAGTGGCTGAAACTGTCAAATGTTGAGTGTGTTGTTTTGACATACATTTGTGTAGCACTGGACTACATTCCGTCGGTGTGTGTACTACTAATTATATGTATGCATATACGACTGAGGGCACGTGCTAACGTAGTTGGTTGAGGCACTATGCCACATGCTGGAGAGCCGCGGGTTCGATTCCCGATGAGGTAATTGGATTTTTCAACTGCCAGCCCTGGGGTCGGTTCAGCGTCTAACAAATGAGTATCAGGAATCTTTCTGAGGGTAAAGGGCGGCCGGCGCGTAAGGCTGACAACCTCAGCGTCATCTGCAGATAAATGGAAGAGAAGAACACATCGTCAGTCGTTTATGTTTCAACAAGTTAACTTTATTCATTCTGGCCCGTCAAGTTATGCCCATCTTCAGAAGGCACAACAAAACAAACAAAAACAAACTCCGTGACCTGTAGTCCGCAAGTGTACTATACCGACCGAGCGACCGCCACTTGTCGGCGAAGTTAGTGCCAACTTAGCGGATAGAGGGTGTCACGTGGTCAGCGCAACGGATCCCCACGGTCGTTAATCTCTCTTCTCTAGACCGGAGCCGCTATTTCCTTGAAATACCTCCTCAATTGTCCTCACGAGGCTGAGTGGACCCCGTTCCAGACCCACTACTTCTCAGAAAATCTGGTAGCGTCGGGAATTGAAACCGGGACCTCTGGATATGTAGCCAGGAACTGACCACTAGACCACAGAGGCGGTCCAGAAGGCACAACATGTTGAGGAAATGACTATTTCATAGGTTATAGTACACCAAAATCCGCGCCATAGCTCAAGCTGTTAGTCGCTGGCTTCCCACCGCGGCGGCCCGGGTTCGAGCACGGGTCTGATCAAGCGGGATTTTTGGTGGAAAAAGTGGCGCTAGGTCAGGTTTTCTCCGAGTACTTCGGTTTTCCCTGCCAAACTTCATTCCACCAAATTATCCATCATCATAATCACCCGGGGCTGGTACAATAGGCCATTCAGTGACCGCCGTGCCGAGTGGACCCAGCTGAACTCCACCCTCCAACTATACCAATTAAATAAAAATTATAGTACATCAAAGTTGAATTAAATTTTTACATGAAAATTTTAATTTTTTTTTTTCCTGTGGCGCTACAGCCCCAATTGGGGCCTAGGCCTACCTCCATGAAACTCTCCGTTTCACTTCGGTTTACTAGATCTTACACAGACGGTAGGACTCCTTGGGCGAGTGATCAGCTCGTCGCAAGGCCTCTACCTGTAGACAAACACAGAAAAACGCACACAAACATCCATGCCCTGAGTGGGATTCGAACCCACGATCCCGGCTTCCGAGCGAGCGAAGACAGTGCATGCCTTAGACCGCTCGGCTACCGTGACCGGCTTAAATAAAATATAGTTGAGTTAAAAATTTTATAAATTGAGTCACATTGGACGGTGTTGTCAAATCATTCTACAACGCTTATATGTATTTCGATTCACTGAAACATAAATTTCCTGTGCATCTGTAGAAGAAAATGACACCTACTTAAAGAAGGGCAATAAATAATACCCCGTCACTTGACGGGACTGGCAGCGAACGTGCTGCCGGGTGCCGGGAAGGTCACTAGCAGAGATGCCCCCACGCCAGCTGACACACATCCCCACAACGGCCACGTTCCCTCGAGTCACGTGCAGACCGGTTTCAGCCGGCTGGGCTTATTTCAAGGTGAAACAACACCACGAGAACTGAGTTCAGATACTCGGCAGCGTTTTCTTCTGTCCCCCCCCCTCCACCCCCCCCCACCCTAGGCTTTCACTCATTTGCAAGACCAACTTCACAAAACACTGTGACCAGGCCCACGTAAAGAGGTTAAAACATTCCACGGGTCTGAGTCCTCGACAAACTTGACAGCTGTCCAACTATTCAAGCTATTCCCACAATTTTATGAAGCCCGAAAGTTCATTATCGCGCGCACAAGGACCTGCCACTGGTCCCTGTCCTAAGCCAGATCAATCCAGTCCATACCACCGCATCCTATTACTCTAAGACCCTATTTAATATCTTTCCATCTACGTCTATATCTGCCTAGTGAGCTATTTCCGCCCAGCTTTCACACCAAAACCCTGTACGCATTCCTCTTCTCACACGCATGCTACATGCCATGCCCGTCTCATCTGTGTTTACTTTATCATTTTAATTACGTCTGGGAAAAGTCAAAGTTATGCAATTCACTATCAAGCAGGTTTCTCCAGCCTCCCATTATTTCATCCCTCTTCGGTCCAAATATTCCCCTCAGCACGGGTGTTCTCAAACACCCTCGCAGTGTACGTTCTTCCATTAACGTCAGAAACAAAATTTCACATCCATACAAAACTAAAGACGAAATTACAATTTTGTAACTCTCATAAATATTGGGCCAAATTAATCTTTCA